CATCCACACCAACGAACCTTTCAGCGTTCTCGTTCGCGCCTCTTCTACTTTTCTTCACTTTGTCTTCGTCATTCCCTCGCGGCTGCGCCAAGCCGCGCGGCGCCCCGCCAGCGCCGCCGCCGAGCGGTCTAGGCCGGTCTAGCGGGAAGGCCGCCGTAGGCCGCCGCCCGGTGGCTGGTGGTCGCGCCGCCGTCGCCGCCGTCCCGTCTGGCAAGCTGGCCCGGCCGGCCAGTCTCCACTAGGTGGCTCTACACCGGGTCTACACCTGACGAGGCTAGACAGGGCGACGACTGCTGCGACTGCTGCCACACTGCCACACCCCACCGCTCTGCGCGCCTTGCCGCCAAGCCCAGGAACGCCGTGACTCACGAGGACGAGACTCCTGTTGTCTCTCCTTTTGTTTTGCACGGTATACGACATGCCGAGGGGGGTGGAGGGGGCGCGCGTGCGTTTGGGTGGGCAGCCACTGTCACTGGCCGGGTCCACGACGAAGAAGCACCGGCGGAGGCGCAGAGGCCCCAGCTGCCGCCACTGCGTCTCCCCTCGCAGGGTCCACGACGAGGCCCTGGCCGAGGCCACGGTGCGGACCACAGTCGCTACGGCCAGTCTAATGGCCTTGTGGACCTTCCCTAGGCTCTTCCAGGCTCCCTGGAGTCGCAGTCGGAGTGCCTCGGGCCAACCTCATTTCGGGAACGAAACACGGCGAATGGGACAACGCGCGGGGAGGGGGAGGGGGGGGGAGAATTGAGACGCGGCCCCTTCTTGCACCGTTTGGGCTGCGCCAAATTAATTTCGTTTTGGGGAAAAGGGGCGGCCGTGCCGGGCCGTGCCGCCTGGCGCCCGGCAAGCCCTTGGACCGCGCACGCGCGCCCGTGGACAAGAAAGCCGTCACTGTAAAGCACCCCTTCTTGCGCCCTCGGGCTGGCTGGCTATCTAGCCGGCTGCCCTGCCTGGCCCGACACTGCACCGCACTCAGCCCTGCCGCCTCCCCTTGGGCCTTCAACCCAGCGCTACTCGCAGTGCTAACGAGTGCGCGCGGTCAAAGTCGCGGACGCGTTTTGAGCTCCAGAGTCGCTAAATGGGACTCGAACCGCACGTGTGACCCCACCAATGGATTGCTCTCCAAACGAGTAATCCATTGGTGGGGTCACACGTTCGGTTCGAGCCCCATTGAGCGACCGGGATTTTGGCCGCCTCCACCGGTCTTCTGGTCCAAAGTTTCTGTGAAGAGTTCTCTGCCAGTTCGCAGCGGCTCGCAGTCCCGCCTGGACGGCCTGAACCCACTCGGTCGCACTGCGTTACATGCCCGGCGGTTCGAGTCTCTTATCTCGATTGTCATTAACGCCCCGCGCCTCGCCCTCGCCTCGCGTTGGTTGTACCTGCGGACCGATTCCGAACAGTGTGCCTACGTCGCCTGTCTCCCTCGCACCCCAGCGGAGCAAGCGGAGCGCCATGCATCGCCCCGTGAGTGCGAGAGAGACATGGGCGACGAGGGATGACCGCCCTGTGTACGGAATCAAGCTCCTGCGCTGTTGTTCGCTTCCCACCGGGCAGGCAAGTAATGAGTGACGCACCCAACACACACATACGCTCACACACACACACACACACCACACACACACACACACACACACACACACACACACACACACACAGTGACGACGCTGCTGCGTCAAGCCCCGATTTCGGAGGAAGCGTTGGCCACGGCGCGCATGGCCTCCATGGCTGCACTGCACTGCGCCCCTCCACGCCACGCCACCGCCTCGCCGCCGCCGCGCATTCCTGTGTGCAAGTGCAAAAAGAAGGTAAGGCCGATACTGTGTGGCCGCGCCGCGCGGCGGAGCACGGAGCATCACAGCAGACGCTCTGACACTGCGGCTGGCTCCGCCGCTCCGCCGCGCCGGCTCGCTGGCATGCCATGGCATGCGAAATCATGGCCGAGTCCCCCTCATGACTTGCACACTGCACACCGCCTCCCTTTGACCCTTCGCCGTCTCGCGACCGCTTTCTCGACTGACTGGCCGCGCCGCCGCGCCACCGCGCCGCGCCGGCTTGCACGGCAGTGCCCGTGGCGTGGCACAGTGGGCCAGAAGACCGGTGGAGGCGGCCAAAACTCTAGACGCGTTTTGAGCTCCAGAGTCGCCAAACAGGCCTCGAACCGAACGTGTGACCCCCACCAATGGATTCCTCGTTCGGAGAGCAATCCATTGGTGGGGTCACACGTTCGGTTCGAGTCCTGTTTAGCGACTCTGGAGCTCAAAACGCGTCTAGAGTTTTGGCCGCCTCCATCGGTCTTCTGGCCCACTGTGCGTGGCAGCGCCGAGCCCGCCGGGCCGGGCCGCCCGGCTCATCTTGCAACATTTGATCGCGGTGGCCGAGTCTGCCGAGTCGACCCGCCACCTGCCCTACCCCGCGTAGCGCGCTGGCCCTGGCTGGCCCGGACTACACTTACAAGTACCAAGTTAGTCAGGCACGGCAGGCGGAGCCGCCTGAAAGGTAGGCAACACACCACGCTTCCCCCCTGAAGTAGGTAACTTTTGCGGCACCCTCACTGGTAAAACTAAAGCGTAACTATGCTTGAGTCAAGCATAAAGTTACGCTTGAAGACGTTAGGCTCGAAATGAAGCATACTCTGAATATTGCCCCTTGCATTTAGATAGGGGGAATCTTGGCGGAGGAGCCTGTTACGCTTGATTTCAAGCGTAAACTGATCACGCTTGAGAACAGAGGGTAATACTACGCTTTAGTTTTACCAGTGCTCTCCCCCTGAAGCCGACTCTGAATCCATCACTGAAGTGGTAAAGCAAATGAGAAAATTAAAGGGCAATAAAATGTGCTTTCTGATGGAGCAGGTGTGGCGAGGGGTTACCCACTCCGGGAATCGTGTGTACACTCAGTGCGTGAATCGTTCGTAATTTGCTCAAAATTTTATCGAAAATCTTAAAAGTTTCAATGGAGAGGGATATGTAATAGACACAAAACACTCATAAGCTAAGAAAAATCTTCAAAAACCTCTCCTTTTAAGCAAGATTTGTTCAGGAATCACGGGAATCCGGAATCGTGTGTACGCCCACGTACCGAGTGGGTAACCCCTCGAGGTGTGGGCATTTTGACTTAGAACCCATTTTTTATACTGTAAGAAAAATGACTGAAAACTCATTACTTTTCTAAGAAGTTGATTACTTGCATCCAGTGTGAACTTTCATACCAAAACTTCCATACTTCGAGGTCATTAATTTCAGACAACGTCAGTCTGGATCGGACATGATGTGATTGTATGTTGAGATCTTGAGTACAGTGCTACTGAGGGAAGGGGCTATCTGTACTGATGCTAAAGGGTCTTCTCGTCGCTCCGTCTCTGTCGCGCTCTTGGGGGCGTCCCGCATGTGTATAGTGGGTGTGTGTGTGTGCGAGAGAGAGAGAGAGAGAGAGAGAGAGAGAGAGAGAGAGAGAGAGAGAGAGAGAGACGCGGTGCGACAAGACGCCTCGACGGAATGGCTCGGCTGGATAGCCTGGCCTGGCCTAGGCCTGGCAGGAGCCTCGCTGGACACTAGACCTGCTGGAGCCAGTCCAACACCGGAAGCGGCCAGCCGCGGAGAGTGCACCGCTAAAGATGGACTAGACAAGTCGGACCGGCGGGGGGGGGGGGGGGGGGGCACGCTTCAGCCACAGGGCATTGACCAGCCATTCTTCATACTTACACTGTCTCTCACACGGACACTCACACTCACTTACACTCCCCCCCCCCACACGCACACTCACCTACACGCACTCACCTACACACACACACACACACACACTCCTGCTACCTGTTCCACTGTAAACCTATCTGTCCCCGCCCACCCGTCTCCCTTTCCTCGGCCGGAAGTGTCCGTCAAAAAAGTGCATCCTTACGGTGAAGTTGCGTTAATGACCACGCTGTAGAGCCATAAACAATTATTTTCTCCACTTTTTTTGGCCGGTACTTTTTCTGTAAGGAAGCAACAGCGCATGCCTCCTGTTCCCTCCTCCAGAGCGACGACCACTTGGTTTTATCGAGTATAAAATTCCCTTCCATTTTTTAATGTCATCATCACTGCATGTGTGGAACGAAATTCGATGTGGGTGTCTCGGGTCGAGGTTGGGCCGGCTTGGAGCGGGTCGGGGAGCAGGACGGGGCGGGGCGGGGCGGGGCGGGGCGGGGCGGGGCGGCGGGCGGGGCGGGCGTGTGTCTCCTTTTGAATAGGAACCTGGGGGCGGGCGGCAGTCCGAATGCATACCGGGCATACCTTGTCGATTGTTTGCCCAATTCTCGACTCATCTTTCGAGTGAGTTGGGACGGAATGGGACCCTGCGGTCCCGCCGCGCGCTGCCCGACACTGCTAAAATAACAAAATACGAAAGTAACATAAAATAACAGCAGCATTGTCGAATAAAATAATGAAATAGGGGGCCGCCGTTTGCCGAGAGGACTTCGGAAGGACGGGCAGTCTTGCCGGCCGTAAACACGAAACACGTCAGAAAAGGGGGACACGGGGGCGGCTTGCCTTCAGTTACCGCAGTGTGGCCACTGCCGGCCACTGCTTGCCGGCCGACCAATCAGAAGCGAGCTCCGGCCATCGCGGCAAGCAGGATATGTGTCCGTGAGACTAGTCTCATCATGTGTGTGCTGGTGTAGCCTCGGGCAGGGCCGCGGGCCGACCGTAACGCCCCGAGGAGGGAGACGAGCCCCCGGAAAAAGAGGGTGGAGCTATGGGCGCGAACCCACGAACGCGAAGCCAAACCAAGACTAATATCTGTCTGTTGTTTGATGTTTTCCAGGACTCAGGCATGATGCGGATAGCGTGAGCCAACCCAGGCCTCAGGATGGCGACGAGGACGGCGTCGAGGACGGCGTCGAGGACGGCGTCGAGGACGGCGTCGAGGACGGCGTCGAGGACGGCGTCGAGGACGGCGTCGAGGACGGCGTCGAGGACGGCGTCGAGGACGGCGTCGAGGACGGCGTCGAGGACGGCGTCGAGGACGGCGTCGAGGACGATGGCGGCGGCGCTGCTCATCGTGGCCATGCTCGCCCTGCTGCCGGTCGCCCCCGCCAGGAAGCACCAACAGCTGCAGCAGCTGCAGTCGTCCCAGTCGTCCCCCGAGCCCGCGGATCCCCTGCCGCGGCCCGAGGAAGCACCGGAACTACCGGCCAGGAACTCCCCTAGCGCGCCCGGCGTCCAGCCCAGACGGAGGAACAAGAGCAGGGCGCAGCAACAGCAGCAACAACAGCAGCAACAACAACAGCAACAGCAGCAACAACAACAACGAGGCGCTGACGAGGAAGATCCGAGATTCGATCTGCCGCCGCTCAACAAGGACCGGAAGCCCAACATCGTGCTTATCCTCACTGACGACCAGGACGTGGAGCTCGGTGAGTGAGCTGCACACTATACATATACACCCTGCGCGCGGTCTCGGTGGCGCCCTCGGTTGGCGCACGGAGCGCGGCGCCGGGGGCTGCGGGTTCGGTTCCCGCCTGCGGCGCTGTTTGTTGTGACCCGTTTGGTTGTTCGCCAGGCTCCCTGAACTTCATGCCGCGCACCCAGCGCCTGCTCCGCGAGGGCGGCGCCGAGTTCAGGCACGCCTACGTGACGACGCCGATGTGCTGCCCGTCGCGGTCTTCACTGCTCACGGGCATGTACGTCCACAACCACCACACGTACACCAACAACGACAACTGCTCGTCGCCTGCCTGGCAGGCCACGCACGAGACCCGCACCTTCGCCACCTTCCTCGCCAACGCGGGCTACCGTACCGGTGAGTACACGTGCGCGGCGCGTGCGCGGGTTCAACCACCGGCCGCGGCCTCTTTTTTCGTGTCTTTCTTTCTCTTCCCCGCCGTGACTCCCCGCCTGGCTTCCATCAGCGAAAGGTCAGTGCGTGCCCTTCGGTGCCCTTTGAGTGCCTTTTGAGTGCCTTTTGCACAGGTGCGCGGCTCCCTGCCCTCACTGCATTGTCCGCGGAGTTTCCTTTTCGGTTCGAATAGCTTCGGCCGGTCCGACCTAACTTTACCGGTCTAGCAGTGGAGCGGGCAGGTCCCAAATCGGCTAGCTTGCGAGACGTGGACTGTATACAATACAGTGTCGCCATAGTCACGCTCTCCGCCCATTGCTGTCTCCAGCCTCTCCAGTCCCTCCAGCCTTTCCAACCTCCAACCTCTCCAACCTCTCCAGCCTCTCCATCCTCTCCATCCTCTCCATCCTCTCCAGTCTCTCCAGCCTCTCCAGCCTCTCCAGCCTCTCCAGTCTCTCCAGCCTCTCCAGCCTCTCCAGCCTCTCCAGTCTCTCCAGCCTCTCCAATCTCTCCAGCCTCTCCAGCCTCTCCAGTCTCTCCAGTCTCTAGCCTCTCCGGCCTCTCCAGTCTCTTCAGTCTCTCCAGCCTCTCCGGCCTCTCCAGTCTCTTCAGTCTCTAAAGTGCGCAACAAACCGAGAAACCACCATTCCAGGATGGATTCCACGAAAGGGCGAGGCGCAGGTTGATTCCGTCGTCTGCGTCGTCGCCCTGTCTCTCTCGCACCCCTGTGAACCGCCACCAGAGTGCGAGAGAGACAGGGCGACGAGTCAGCAAACGAGGCCGTACTGCCGCCCAGCCGGGCCAGCGGGGCCAGCGTGCAGCTTGCCGTCAGTGGAAGCGGAAAGGGAATCGATCCCTCTAACTCTGTGATCCGATCGAGGAAACGAAGAGGTGTGCGCGCGCCAAAGGACGCCAAAGCTGGCCAAAGCCTGCGAAGGGACCGCAGCCATGCTGGGATGCCTGGTATGGGACCAACTGGCACCAATGGGTACCAATGGCTCTCGGCTACAAGACTCGGACTGACCGATACGACCATCAGTTCCGAGAAGGGCCACTTGTGCGTGCCTTTGCTCGACACACACTCACACTCTCCCACTCTCACACACCACCAACACATACCCACATACTCCCTACCCTTTCCTTCTTGTCCATTCTCTCTCTTTGGAACGCACCCGCGTCGAGTTCAGCAAGCATTTCCAGAAAAATAAAGTTATGGCAGAGCTGGGATTCGAACCCACGCTCTTTCGGACTGGTGGTGCCTACAACCAGCGCCTCTGACCACTCGGCCACCCCGCTGCCACTTGAAAACCCCGTGCGCAGGATTGTGTCCGAGGGCTCAATCAGCTGAAAGGCTGCAAGGGAGCTCTGTTTGATGCCCTGTGGTTTCCCCCGCCAACGCTCCTCCAGGTACTTACGGTGGAAGGCAGACTGGAAGGTGGCTGCCGCGGCATCCCGTGAGGCCGTGAGTCATCGGCTAGGGCCCAGGGCGGCCCACTGCCTCTCTCTCACTCGCACCCAGGGGGCGTTTCGTGAAGATCCGAGAGAGACAGGGCGACGGAGCGGTGTTCGGAATCGCTTTGCTGGCGGCCAGGCCTCGCAGGCCAGGGCCTGGGGAACTGACTGTCCCATGGACTGTCCCATGGACTGTCCCATGGACTGTCCCATGGACTGTCCCATGGACTGTCCACCTTGGCCCGCGGCCAGGGCCTGGGGGACTGACTGTCCCATGGACTTTCCACCTTGGCCGCGCGGCACGGCGCTCGGCGACGCTCGGCGACGCTCGGCGCGTCTTTCAGATTCCAGCAGGAATGTCGCGCAATCCAATCGAATCCGATATCGAAATCTAATCGATTCAGCCATCGATCCCGGAGCCTGCGGGCCTTGCGGGCCGCATGAATGGACGGGGACCTTGTTAGGAGAAGGATTTATCACCCCCTGCCCCCGCCCCCTCCTCTTTTAGACGGACGTTGGCTCGCCGGCGCATTACGCAGGGTACACTGTGGGTACACTGCCAAAACACAAAACACCCGTCCTCCGGCAGTTCTTGCAGAAACGGTGCTGTTTTGGGGCATGCGAGATTACACACACCCTCCCCCCCCCCCACACACACACACAAACGCGCACGCGCGCGCCTCGAGCTGCGCGCGGCGACAATAAATTTAACAGTGTGTGGCTCATGCTAAGCCCGCGGACAGCCGGGCCTCCGGGGCCACCCAAACGGTGCGAGACGATCTGATCACGGGGATCACGCTGGTGGCCGGAGTCTCCTCCTGGAGCCGCGCCCGCTGGAGCCCGGGGCCTGGAGCCCGGGGCCTGGAGCCCGGGGCCTGGAGCCCGGGGCCTGGAGCCGTCCGTCGTCGCTGGAGGCGCTGGAGGCTGAGGCTCCAAGTTGAATGGCGACTCATTGACGACTCTCGGGTGGGACCCGCACCACCGGGCAGGGCCGGCAGGGCACCCCACACATGCCTTGGCCGCTTGGCCGCTTTGCCGCTTTGCCCGGCGTGGCCCGGTCCCCCGGCAAGCCGGCAAGGCATTTTATTGCGGGAGAAAAATAAGCCGCTCCCCAGACGCGTCCAGGATTTCGACCGCCTCCACCGGTCTTCTGGCCCACTGTGCGTTGGCTTCTGAATGACCCCTGCTATAACCACGCCGTTTTCCTTGCTTTCCGCAGGCTACTTCGGCAAGTACTTGAACAAGTACAACGGCTCTTACATCCCCCCCGGGTGGCGCGAGTGGGGCGGGCTCATCATGAACTCGCGCTACTACAACTACTCCATCAACCTGAACGGCAAGCGGATCAAGCACGGCGACGACTACCACAAGGTGCAGACTCATCGTCGCGTCGCCCCGTCTCTCTCGCACCCATCGGGGACGTTCCATCAGAGCGAGAGAGACAGCGCGACGAAAACGACTCTCGGAAACGACTCTGCAGTACGCATGCGAGCTTCTGTTCAGTGCACTGTCTGAAACGGGCATGTTCTGGTTGGCAGGACTACTACCCGGACCTGATCGCCAACGACTCCATCTCCTTCCTGCAGCAGTCCAAGCAGTACTTCTCCCACAAGCCCCTGGCCCTGGTGCTCAGCTTCCCTGCGCCGCACGGCCCCGAGGACTCGGCCCCGCAGTACAAGGACATGTTCTTCAACGTCACCACACACCAGTGAGTGCCAACCACTCAACCGCGCACCTTGACGTGCACCTTGACGTGCACCTTGACGTGCACCGTGCCGCTTCGTGGTGGCGTGCAGTTGGTTTCCTTTGGTCCTCGTCCCGCCGACGCAGACTGAACAAACTATACAAGGTGGCTCGCCCGCCTCGCAGAGAGCCCCTGCTGCTCGCCGGATAGGCAACCCACCCGGCACGCCTGCCAGGCGGGTAGTCTCCTTCCGGGCGCTTCCCGCTGCAGACTGATACCCAGAGCCGTTTTCGTCGCTCTGTCTCTCTCGCGCCCCTGGAGCGTTCCGTATTGGCGCGAGAGAGACAGAGCGACGAAAACGATTCTCGGAATGAGTCCGCCGCAGCCGGAGTTTGACGGTGTGGCTTACTGCTGTTCGCAGCACGCCGACGTACGACTACGCGCCCAACCTGGACAAGCAGTGGATCCTGCAGGTGACGGGGAAGATGAAGCCTGTCCACCGCGAGTTCACGGACCTCCTGATGACCAAGCGGCTGCAGACTCTGCAGAGCGTCGACGTGGCCGTGGACAGGGTGAGTGGCGCGAAGCGAGTGGAACCTGGAATGTTTCAGAGTGTTGCCCTTTTAACGAAACCGCACGATCGCCCCTTGCAGGTGTACAAGGAGCTGGAGGCCATGGGGGAGCTGGACAACACGTACATCATCTACACGTCCGACCACGGCTACCACCTGGGCCAGTTCGGTCTCGTCAAGGGCAAGTCGTTCCCCTTCGAGTTCGACGTCCGGGTGCCGTTCCTGGTGCGGGGCCCTGGGGTGGAGCCAGGCACTGTGTGAGTATAGCTGGAGGCTCCAGCCTGGACCTGGAGCTGAGTGACTAAGGGCGGATCCAGAGACGGGTTCAGAGGGGAGGGGTAAAGTGCGACTTTTTGCCTACCTTCCCGCCCGTGGGAGTCTGTGAGAGTCCGTTTTGTCTCGCAGGGTGGACGAGATCGTCCTCAACATCGACCTCGCCCCCACGTTCCTGGACATGGCCGGAGTGGAGGCGCCCCCCGCCATGGACGGCCGCTCCATCCTGCGCCTCCTGCAGCTCAAGGGGAGCCGCAGGAGGAAGAAGCTGCGCTGGCCTGACACGTTTCTCATTGAGAGGTGAGCGCGGAGTGGGATGGAAGACAGGCACGTGTTCGACTTCGACTACCTTGTAAGAGGTAATCTAAAGCTGTTTTTTTAATGCCGGTTTCAGTAGTGGCAGGCGAGAAAGTCCTGAGTCGATTGCAGAGGCAAGGAGCAAGTGGGAAAATTTCCTTCGTGCACAACAGCAGAACGCTACGCAAGCAGAGGCCAACACCAGCTCACTTCTCTTGAGCACAACAGCAAAGCCAATTGTACCAACTGACAGTAGTCAACAAGAAGAGGGTTCGGAAGAAGCAACAAATACTGATGATGAAGAGGAAAATGAAGATGAGCTTGATGAAGAGGATAATGATAACAATGATAATTTGGCCAATTCAAAAGGAAATAATTCTTTAATCCGATTACCTCAAGAAGAGCTACTTGGTCCTTTACGTAAGTAAAATGCCCATCACCGCAGGTAGAACAAACATTTTAAAAATTCAAGGGAAAATTGATAGTTTTTTCTCATTTTATCCTCAGAGCCGGACACACAGCTGGACAATAGGGTTGTACCTGTTCTCCATCCAGTTGAAAATTCCAGTCCTTCAAAGCATGAGCGACTGGCTGTTGAATGTCAGCGTCCTGAAATGCAGCTCCCCTGTCGGTATGGCCAGAAGTGGCAGTGTGTTTTAGAAGGCAGCCGATGGCGCAAACATAAGTGCAAGTTTCAGGGGTCTCTTTCCTTTCGTTCCTCTTTGTCTCGGGACTCTAATGGGGGCAAGCGATGCGCATGCTTCACTCCTTCTGGCCTTCTGTACACCAGATCAGAACCAGAAGACAGGCATGCTCACAGATCATCACCTAAGTGAGTAGAGAGACCTATTTTTAAAACAAGAAAATTCTATTCTAGTTAGTTTCAGTATATTTACTAAAAAAATATTTTTTTAAATAAAGGAATGACAACCACAAAGATCTTCGAAATTATCGAGGTAGATATGGGCAGTTTGGTCAAGATTCTTACAGTGATATTTTACCCCACCGTTGGAAAAGAGATTCAGTTGATCATCTAAGCAACTTAATTGATTCTACTTTGGATGGAAATGTTGCTGTCAAGTTGGGTGAGCGATTCAGGCAAAGTTTCATTTCGAGCAGAAATGCTGTGAATGTGGAGCGCGTAAAACGACAAGTTAGTGAACCTCTTGACCATGTGGCAGCAATTATGGAGGATATTAAGAAAGAAATGCATAGCCTTGAGGTGAGTAAATAAATCAACTGTGCCATTAGAAAGTCTGGTGCCAAACTAATATTTTCTTTTTTAAATTAAATCAGCAGGCCTCAGAAAAATCAAGGAGTTTGGAATCGGGAGCAGAAAGTGACCCATCAGGGCAGGACACCAGTAATTCATCTGTCATTACCCCGGGCTGCATAGTGTCCTCATCTGGAGATATCAACTGCAGAAATGCTGTGTACACTGACCCAAAAGTGTGGAGAGCAAACAGAGAAAATGTTGATGAGCAGATTCGTAATCTGCGTTTACAACTTGAAAGTCTGAAGGTAAAAAATTTTTATCTCCATCTTCAAAATCCTATTTTATCACCAGGCATATTGAATCTGAGCGAATTTATTTATTTCTGGTCAGGAAATTCGAAAACACTTGAGAGAGAAACGCCCACATCCATCTTCTTTCCATATAACGGGTGAAGATGAGGAGGAATCTGACATTGCTGGAGTTGAAGCGACATTTTCTAGTACTTGGCAGCAGCAGCAGCAGCAGCATCACAGTCATCGTCAACACCATGGAGAAAATCAAGGTCATCGAAGAGGGAAGCCTGGAACCTTGGCTTCTACCACTCCCATGTCCCCTGAAGAAACAGTCCCTATCACATCTGTTAGCAATAAATCTAGCTCTAGCCAAACTCCCAAAGAAATCCACCATGGTTTAAAAACTGTTGTGAATGAAGAATCTGCAACAGTTGGTCAATCATGGAATGCCGAATCAACTCGATTCCAAGACACCACAGCAAAGAACAAAGTAAGTCATTTCGAAAAACATGTATTTATAGTTCAAGAGCTCTGATTAATGTTGAATATTACTTTTATTCAGATCTTCTACAAAGGAAATTCCGGAATGAACTCAGCACCTGGTCGAATCGATGTGACTGTCATTCGTCCAACTGGTACTCCAGGAAATAGGAGACCTGTCATGGCCCTGCCTGAACCCCAGCACGAACAACATACTTGCTACTGTGAGCCAGAGCTGTAAGTTATTTTTAATTCGAAACCAGCCAATCCAAATAGATCTAAGGGTTTAAAAAGAACTGCATTTGCTTACGAGTCAAGGGCTTTTGCTTCCAGATCACCAAGACAAAAAGAAAAGGAGGCAGCCCGCAGAGACAGATGGCGCGCTAAGGAGGAACGATTGAGGAAGAAAGAGAGAAAGCTGAAAAGAAAAGCAAAAATGGAGAAAGAATGTTTGTCAGAGCGTATGAATTGTTTCAATCATGACAATGACCACTGGAGGACCCCCCCTTTGTGGACATCTGGCCCTTTCTGTTTCTGCATGAATGCTAATAATAATACGTACTCATGTATTAGAACAATTAATGCAACTCACAATTTTCTATACTGTGAGTTTGTGACCGGTCTTATAACTTACTACAATCTAAGACTTGGTGAGTACTGTAAAAAATAACTTTTTTCTCTCTCCTATTTTTCTAAACTCATTTTTGTTTTGTTTCTGTTAAAAATAAACCCTTTTTATTTTTTTCAATTTTTAAAAATGTTCTCAGATCCATTTGAACAGTGGAATAGAGTTCACACTCTCAACTCAAGTGAGCTTTCATATCTCAAAGACCAATTAGCTCAACTCAAGGCTTGCAAAGGCAATCGCCAATGCACTGTGGGATCTGCAGCCGTGGGACCTCATACACCCATTGTAAATCTTCCTGTGGCAGCACCATCAGTTAGTCGAAATGGAGCTACAAATCGCACCAATGGGAAAAAAAGAAAATATCAACAAACTTCAGGTGAGATTAATGGAAATCTATTTTCAGTCATCTGCTTTTCTGAATGCATGTGAATTTTGCCACTAACAATAATTTTGAACTGTTAAGCGTGCTTATTTTATTGGTGTTTCCACTATTTCTGCTCTTTGTCTAACATTGGTCTGTTTCTGCTGTTGCTTTTGGCTTTCTATCATTTCACAAATTTCATGTGGTGCTCATGTGGTGGTTCATGCTCACATTTTTGCTTGGCACAAAGATGAAAAAGTAAAAAGGCGCTATCCCTATAGCCCTCAAAATGGTGCAAGCTCTGATCAATCCAAATCTTACATTAATGCCAATTTTAAACTCACCAAGTGAGTAAACCTGTCAAACATTTTATACCATTTCAATTTCTGTGGTGTTAACACAATTGGGGGCGGGAAGGAAAGCACAGCTAAAAATTTACAGCACTCATTTGTTTCTTGTTGGGACAGAGTTTGGAACCGTAGAAGAAAAGTATGGCCTTCACATGGGCAGTGGCAGTCACAACATCGGAGAGCGAAGGGAAGATCGAATCGGAAACCCTCCATCCTTGTCTCCAGTACTTCCAGAAGTGGAGTGGAGAGCACTTCGCAGAGAGCACGAGTGGATTGATAGTTCTCAGCGTCATCGACACAAGAGACGCCATAGGCAGCACAATAAAAAGCACGCACATTAGTTCTGCCTGGTCATTCACTGTTTTCTGTGAAGAATATCTGCATTATTTGACCTGGATATGTCATGATTCCTATTTAGCACTGTGATGTTTATTGGATGCTCTGCTCCCGTTTTACCATTTTAAGTTTATGTGACAGTGTATGTATGCATTTATACTTTTAAGTAGCTGAGTTTATGTATTAAGAGCTTTGTGATCCCAGTTCTTGTATGATTAAGACTGATTAAGTAATCATTTTTCTCTCCTGGTTTAATTTATGTAAACTGAACTACCCCAGGCAAACACTTCTGCTTAGTGTTTATTTGCTATGCTACTTGTTTTCTTGGTGCTTTATAAAGTGCATATCAGTTGTTTTAGTTTTTCTCTTGTTATAATTGCGGATTTTATTATTCTTTTAAAAATATCATATGAAGTATATAATGAAGTAATTTGCTACTGACTGATAAATCATGATTCTGAAAAATAATTATGATGATTATTTTAATCTGATTTGCTGCGTGCCCTTTGTACAGCCTGTTAAAGTATATAAGGAACACTGTGATCTGTCAGAAGCTTTATACCTGATGTATTTGAGCCACCTGATAATTTACTGCCATATAATTTGTGTATCTATAAAGTCTGTAAAGTATCATGTGTGAAGTACTGTAATCACAACTGTCTCTTACCAAATTGTACACCACTATATCACTACTCTTTACAATTTAATTGTAAGGTTACTAGATTTGGCAAGCAATCTCTGCCTTTTGTAAGAACGCCTTTAAGTATAAATCTGTGTAAAAAGTAAAATGCTTTGTATATTGCTCTGAGTTCAAAATTTGTGTGAGTTCTGTAGTGACTGTAATTTTTATATGTGCATAAAGTTGTATATAACCAGATGTAGTGCTCGTTTTTGGCTCTACTCTGTCAGATGAGAAACATGTACATAGAACTTTTTAATTTATTATTTATTTAATTCTCATGTAAAGAGAGGTTTATCTTCAATTGTATCCCTGATAATTTTTGGAGATTAAACAAGCATCCTCTGTACAAAGACTCATAGGTATCTTCCTCATCCCTAACACCTTACTAGGCAAGAGATGAAGATTTCAATTCAAATGGATTGCTGGAGAAGATTGAAAATAAAATTCCATGGATTGATAAGATTTGATTTATTCTCCTTTGAGTTCAAACTGCTAAAAAAAATATTATTGTTACTAATAGAAACTAAGAAATAACAGTGACTTAGTTTGAGATGATCACATTGGTGAGATAAGCACAGAGATTCTTATTCTAATCAAAGAAACATCAAACAAACAAAAAAGATAAATGTATCACAAAACCAATCACCACTGAGAAGTTATAGAAAATGGCACTGGAGAATTTGCCTTAAATGGAACATTCTTGGCACTCTTAACTTAAGATTCTTATTTTTTCTAATCATAATAGAAGATTATATTATACTGGGACATTTCTTGGTCGGAGATTGGTTTTCACAAGAGGTTTTATAATGCGTTTCACAAAATCAGAAGATGGGCCTGCATATGGATAAGACAGCAGGCCAGCATCAGAAGCAATTTGCAAAACTGCTCCTGTACAAAATATGGTGGATATGACGAGTAGGACAAGAAAGATGATAAGGGTGAAAATGACCCACAAGCACCTGGAAAAGGCGTACAAAGTTATAGCATGTGAAGGTACTTTAAGAGAAAAGAAACTAGAGTAGCTTCGACTTTTGAATATCATACCGTGATTTATGAGGCAAAACTGATGAGAATTTCTTGTGCACACTGCTTTGCTCGTCTAATATCCTCAATGATAAGTCAGGAGATTTAATGGCAACTTCAGTGGCATTTGTTGGAGGAAGTTTCTGAAAAAAATATTTTGTAAGATATCTTGGTAAACACAGTTTATAGTCTTTTTCAGAAGCATGAGGAGAGGTTTGAGTCTCAACAGGACACATCTGGAAGCAATAAAATTAATTAAAGTGAGAAAAAAAGTTGAAAACAGACCATAACAGATCCAGTCTGTAAACATTCAAGACTAATTAAACACATCACACCTCAACTTCTGCTTGAATACTCTTGTCAACTCTTTCTGTGGGCATGTGAGATGGGACATTAAAAACTCCTTGAGTCTGTGCATCAGCATGACATGACTGTTCAGAACAAAACAAATACATGAAAAAAATGAAAACATTTTCATTGCTTGATAGCATTGAGATGATAGACGGAATAAACGCATGCGGTAATCTGACTTACCATAGCTTTCATTTCCACCTCTGGTAGTAAAGATTTTTCCAACTGCTAGAAAAAAAAACAAAAAATGAAAAATTAGTTAAAAATCCTATAAGGTTTAAGCATGTATGTACCAACTTACAGAGGTCGAGGAATTAGACAAATGACAGTTTGCTTGAAGACTGAAATGGGCGGGTTCTGATTGGGTCTTCCTACTACTTTTGCAATCCAAATCATCCAAGCCGGCTGAAAGGCTTTTGTTCAGCGTAGACTTCTAGCGAATGAAGGTTGAAAAGAAACAAAGGTAGGTTTGAAAAGAACAGACTTAAAGGCATAAATGAAGACAAGATCTTGTTTTAAGAAAGTATGAAAGAGCTCACTGTTATTTGGGGGCTTTGTTCATTTTTCTCATATTGATGATTCTCCATAGTTTTCTGGTGATCTATCCTCTGCTCCTGATAGACATTGCCCTGGACCTCCAGTTTCGTTTGAAGCTCCTTTATATTTGATTTTAAGAGTCCATTCTCCTGATTTAAGTTCTCAATCTCTGTACTTAATGCAGCTAACTGAAACTCAAAGACCATTAGAAATAAAAATTGATTAAGTAGCTGGTGATTATGGGTAGAACATTGTGATACTGACCACTTGGTTTTGCTCGTTAAGTTGAAGGTTCAATTGCCTCTCGGTAACTGATGGGCTATCAAGAGATTTGTATAAGTCTATCTTTTCACTCTCACTAACTTCAAGAGAGCCTTTTGGTACTTCATTACTCTCTAGGAGAGTTTTGATTTGTTTGGACAATCTAGAATAAGGAAATCAAGCACACATTTAAAAAACATGGTAATTAGTGGATTTATGAAACTTCTTGAAAAAAAATTCCAAATGTACATACTTGTTCACTTCATCATCCTTCACTTTTTCTAGCTCTTGCTTTACAATCTGCTCTTGGCATAATGCATCATGTAGCCTTTGCACTTCCAGTTTTTCATTTTTCAGAGTGCAGTGAAGTTGTTGGATCTCCTCTTTGAGGACAACCAATTCTTTTGAGGCAAACTCTGCTTGAATACATTTGTCAATTGTTTTTAAGGGTGTAAGAGGTGTGACATTAAAATTGTCTTGGGTCTGTGTTTCAGCATCACAAGACTAGAAAAAAAGAAAGAAAAAAGTCGAGATCTTTTTCTTAGCAGTGAAAACATTTTTATGAATGTATTGTCCCTCAAGAGTTGGCATAAAAAAAAAAAAAAAAGAAATACAATAATAATAAAAATTGACTTACCACAGCAGCTTGCATTTCTATCAATAAAGACTTTTGCAACTGCAAAAAATAAAAAGCAATGAAATAGGGGTTTAATATTCTCCATTGCTTAATATGTAGTATGTATATAACTACTTACAGCTGGAGGGGAATCAGAAAGATTTAAACTGTTTGCCTGAAAATGGAAAGGCGCGAGCTCCGATTGAAGGTTACTACTATCACTGCAATCCAAATCATCCGAGTAGGTTGATAAATGTCTTTTGTGAAGCATTGAGTTCTAACAAAATAAGTTAATAACAAAACAAAGTTAAGTTATAAAATAACAAAAGAACAAGAAGCCACAAGATCTATTTAAAAGATAGTATGAAAGAGCTCACAGTTATTTGGAAGTTTAGTTCACTTTTCTCATCAAGATAATTTTGAATAGTTTTCTGATAATCCATCATCTGCTCCTGCTGGGCGTTTGCCTGCTGCTCTAGTTTATTTTCAAGCTCCTGTTTATCTGATTTTAAGTTTTCAATCTGCTGGTTCAAATCCTCTACTTCTGAACATAATTCAGCTACCTGAAACTCAAAGACTATTAGAGATGAAAATCAATTACCTAAGAAACTGGCGATTATGGGTAGAACATTGTGATACTTACCACTCGCTTTTGTTCCGTAAGTTGAAGGTTCAGTTGCCTCTCAGTAACAGATAGACTATCACAAGATTTGCATAATTCGAGCTTTTCACTCTCACTAACTTCAAGAGAGCATTTCAGTGATTCATTACTTTCTAGAAGGGATTTGATTTGTCTGGACATTCTGGAAGGACGATGTCGAGCACATACATATTTTTAAAAACAGAATAAAATAATAGATTTATCAAACTACCCCTTTAAAAAATGACAATGTACATACTTGTTTACTTCAACATCCTTCAATTTTTCCAGCTCTTGCTTTTCAATTTGTTCTTGGTTTAATGCATCATCTAGCTTCTGTAATTGCTGTTTTTGAGTTTTTAAGGAGCACTGAAGTTGTTGGATCTCCTCTTTGAGTTGTACCACCTCTTCAGAGTCTTCTCTGCAAAGGCAGTCAAGAAGTTTAGACATGATTTTAAACAGACCGAAGAGATTGATGGTTGGGCAGAAAAGGAGGGGACTTACAAACTAGAGGAGCGAGAGCCAGGTGAGAAACAGTAGGAATGCTTCGACACGTCAAGGGGACCTAACAAAAAAGAAAAGAACCAAACAAACTTTGACTAAACTTGGCCAATCTGACAATGTAGATGACATAATTCTCATCCAATATTCACCTTGAAATTCGTCACCTATGCCTAAGTCATCACCCCCTGCCAAATCTGATATGTTGTACCTGGAAGCGAAAACCTTACATCAATATAATCCAAGAAAGAGAGTAAAATACAGCGAACGAAAGTGTGATTTTCTTGAAAATGGTCATAGGAGTCAAAGAAAGTAAATTCTTCCTCACACTTTAGATTTTTTAGGAGAAGGAGATTCTGCTTGCTTGTACCAAGCTGCCATCCATGTGGCTTTGTCAACTTGAATATCTTGATCTGATGGATCCAGAAGACAGCGTACTGTGTCCAGTAGTTCTTCTTTCTCATGCTGCTGATGATCACTGACAAACGAATGAATGGATTAAACAATGAATTCGGCAAATTTGGTGTCGGGGAAGCAATAATCCAGATAGATGTTACAGAGCTGGTACGCTGATATTAAAACAGTAAGAAGGGATACCAATATGTGTGGTAAAGAAAAAATATTACAGAAAATACGTGTGACTTACTTGTTATTGAAGGCATTGACTTCATTAGTTACAGCCATTATCAGTTTAGAGACCGGCACTTTTCCCAAGTTTGCCGTGTCACAAGCATCGAACAGGTTTTCAAATTCCGTTATGGCATCCATCGTGGCATCCGAGGAAAGTGTAATTCGGTTCACCTGTCCAGAAAATAGTTGGGCTAATTCATTTAACCGAAATAGGCAACTGACACGGTAAATTGGCGGCACAATTTGTATTTATTCAAAATAACAACACAACATAAACAAAGATCGATGCCGCCCAACAACAACAAAAGGCAAGTTCATATATTTCCACAAGGCGGGGCGCCGCATGAAAATCAAATACACGTTTCATTTAATCCTATTCGGAATTTTGTTCAATGCTTTAGGTTGTGATTTAATTTTGGGAAGCCAAAAGCAGCATTTATTCTCTAATTTAGAGAAAAGAAGCTCAAAAGAGAAGACGTCACATCTCTAGTCCAGTTTTATTAAGAAGAAGTAAAAGCATAACACAGACCGGAAGCGCTCGTCCTGCGCGTGCGCGTGCGTCGTGCGTGGGGCTGCTCGGCAGCATGTTTTTACGTTCTGCATAAGAGCGTATTTGTTTTGATTTTTGTGTGGAAAACCAAATTTGCTTCAAAATGTTGGTGTTGTTCGAAACTCCGGCGGGATACGCAATCTTCAAGGTACGTCTCCTGCCCTCGACTATGTTCTATTTACTGTAATTGATGCATTTTGTTTACGCCGTGCAAGCTTGTGTGTTGACGACAACCCTCGTGTCGAACTTGCCTTTGCCAGGCTCACATTGCCGTCTTGAGTTCTAGTTTCCCTTCTGTACGTATCTATTGTCGGTTTTTGTTATTACTTATACGTTTGTGCCCTTTGGCTTGGTTTCTTCCAAAATGAAGTACGCACACGGTGAAGTGCCGGCAGCGTGCAATGGCACACGTGTGTTTGCCAGGTTCATGTATTTTACTTCCTAGCAGTAATAGCCCTCGTTTTTGTCCAAGTTTATGTCTTGACCGCTGTACCTATTTTTATCTTAAATGAAACTCCCCTTTGCCCTTGGCCTAAGCTTCACGATATGAACTACTCAATGCTAAGAACAGTGCAAGTCCTTAACCTCACTATTTCATGCTTTTTCACTTATCATGTGTATCAAAGCATTTTGACTGTACCGTCCCTGCACTTTTGTTTTGATTTTTATGATTGACAATATTTTTTATGTGTTCGTGTTACAGCTCCTTGATGAAAAGAAGCTCAGTCAAACAGAAAACCTGTACCATGATTTTGAAACGCCTGAGGCGGCCAGTAAAGTGTAAGTGTTTTGGCATTTTGGCTTTCAGTTATCTATTGATCCTGTCTGAATATTTTTTATTTTTACCTCCTGAACTACCAGTTTATAAAGTATCATCTTTATTTTTAGGGTCAAGCTCAAACACTTCGAGAAATTCCAAGATACAACAGAAGCTTTGTCTTGCACTACAGCTGCAACGGAAGGAAAAGTGTCAAAAATGCTCAAAAAAATGCTGAAGAAGGTACTGCTTTTTACCTTACAATAAACTTCCGAAGTAGTTTTGTGATATTGTTTTGACACTTCTCTGTTACTGATTCTAGCAAGTTGCTGCTGCTGGTATTCAGGATCAGCTTCTTGTAGCCGATGCCAAGCTCGGAAACGCTATTAAGGAGAAGCTGTCTGTGTCTTGTGTGTCAAACACAGCAGTGCAAGAACTCATGCGCTGTATTAGGTCACAATTGGACGGTCTCTTGGCTGGTTTGCCCAAGAAAGAAATGACTGCAATGGCCCTTGGTCTTGCCCACAGGTAATTTGCCTATTTCTTGCATCCATCCTTTATGATGCAGTATTCACTTGTAATCTCCTGATTCAGCATATTCCCTTTTGTTGTTTTCCAGTCTTTCCCGTTACAAGTTGAAGTTCTCACCCGACAAGATTGACACCATGATTGTTCAGGCTGTGTGTTTACTTGATGATTTGGATAAGGAGCTCAATAACTACATTATGCGGTGCAGAGAGTGGTATGGATGGCACTTCCCCGAGTTAGGAAAGATTGTCACAGACAACACAGCATTTGTTAAAACTGTGAAGCTCATAGGTATGTATCCCATCTCTCAGTTTACTTGTTGTTTCCTTCAGTGTCAATTTCTTATTTATCTATCTTCTCTTATCTCATCTTAGGAACCAGGGAAAATACATCATCCACAGACTTATCAGATGTACTGTCTGAGGATTTAGAAGCCAGAGTGAAAGAAGCTGCAGAAATTTCCATGGGTACTGAAATTTCTGATGATGATATTTCTAATATTCATAGACTTTGTGATCAGGTGAGGACTGTTTTTTTTAGCCATTGCTTTTGCTTTATTGAAATAGCGTCTTATTTTTCAATTCTGTTCTTTCCAGGTCCTTGAAATTTCATCATACCGTAGTCAGTTGTATGATTACTTGCGTACCAGAATGATGGCAATTGCACCTAATTTAACAGTGCTTCTTGGTGATCTTGTAGGTGCTCGTCTTATTTCCCAATCAGGTAGGACAACACCCAATTCGTCTTCATTCAAATAACACATCAACTTTACAGGATGGAAAAATAAACTATTACTTTGTCTGTTTTAGGTTCCCTCATCAATTTGGCCAAAGCACCAGCATCTACTCTTCAAATTCTAGGTGCTGAGAAAGCTTTATTCAGAGCCCTGAAAACCAAGAAAGACACTCCCAAGTATGGTCTCATCTACCATTCGTCACTTGTAGCTACAGCCTCTGCGGCCAACAAGGGCAAGGTAAGCATTTAACTGTCTAAGGCTTTCGTTTCTAACTTGAGTTCATATTTCACTAATTGCTTATTTGCTTTTTTTTTTTTAGCTATCTAGAATGCTAGCTGCCAAAGCATCTCTGTGCACCAGGCTGGATGCCTTGGGGGAGGACAGTACCTTAGAGTTGGGAGCAGAGCACAAAGTTAAATTGGAGTCTCGCCTCAGGTTATTAGAGGAAGGCAATTTGCGAAGACTGTCTGGCACAGGCAAGGCAAAGTCCAAGTTTGAGAAGTACCAAGGAAAGAGCCAATTCAAGCAGTATCCTACAGCTGCTGATTCTACCTTACCCACTAAGAGAACACATTCACAATCGGAGGACCAGAAACCATTAGTTGAGGAACTTGGTGCGTTGCTGTTCAAATTTCTCCATTTTAAACACTTAATGTAACCACTGCTAATAATTTGGCTTTATCATTACAGAGGCACCGAAGAAGAAGATCAAGCTTGAGCCTGGTGTATCATCAGTAGAAGTTAAATCTGAGCCTGAAGATGATGGTATGTTTAGTGTAATTCTGAATAGTTCCTACTCTTGTGCAGCAGAATTAAGGGACTCGTCCTTTTTCATTCCAATTTCTTGCAGGTTCTTCCAAGAAAAAGAAGAAAAAGAAGAAGAACAAGGGAGGCGATGAAGAAATGCCAGTAGAAGAGCAAGTTGCTGAACCTACCAGTGAGAAGAAGAAGAAAAAGAAGAAGAAGAAATCTGCTGAGGAAGATGATTAATTTTACAAATTTTTATGCTGCTGATAATGTGTGCCAGGTCTTGGTGCTATATTTTCTTTAGTTTCATTTTCATTTTGTTCAGTTGTTGTACATTGAACTTGGGAGGAGTGATAAGTCTATTGAGTTGTCATGAGTTGTCAATAGTGTGATAAAAGCAGAAAATATTAATTTTTCTATTAATTTGGTATCAAATATTTCCTTTGTTATGTGGTTGTGCACATACATTTGATGTATGCTTGTATCATTGTTTCAATCTTTATTTTGTTTGTGGAATGGGTGAAATAGTTTTTCAGTCTTGGACTTGAATTCTATTTGTTTGTAAAACTTGACCTGACCTGACCTGTGAAGTTTCCAAATACAGACTTAATGCTGTTTGAGATTTAAATCTTGCCTAATTTACCCTGACCTCCTGTTAATACCATCATATCTTTTGTCCATAATAATACCATAGTTAATTTTTCTTGGATATCCTTTATTTTACGACAGTAGAAAATAGATCCTTCATCATAAAAACGTGAAGTATACCTATCTATTAAGGAGAGTTCACGGTTGAACGGGATGGCCACAACTGAGGGAACAGTGGGAGGACAAAGACTGATTGGGGGTCAACCTTCATCCATCTGAAAAACTAGGAAAACGAGGATCTCATGGCCACACTGGAGAAGTAGCATTATGAACTTGCCACTGAGCGTAAGACCGCTTTGAGCTGCTACAAGCGATAGTTAGAGCGCGGCCCGTGACACGGGGCTGTGGACTTCGAGACTACGTGTGGCACACTGAACTAATATCTTGATTATCAATGAGAACACGTCCTCTATCCGGCGAGCGCGAGGTTTAAGTTTCACACTTCAACTGCAAAACCGAACAACGAAAGAAAATCATCAAATGGCCGCACGAGTTTCCTTGAATCACAGTCACTTGAAGACACAGCCAACCTACGGTCGGGGAGTATCGCCGCCATGGCACTGGCGTGGGCTAGGGCGTGGGGTAGCTCCACGGCGGCTAGTCCCTAAACGTGGTGCACCTTGTTGAGCGAGGTGGCCGCGGCGTTTGGCACTTGAACGGGGACTCGCAGTTCGATGACTGTCTGGGCGAGCGTGATGACCGCGGTGTGCGAGGCCGCGTGCCCCGCGAGGGCGTGGCCGGCGTGGCCGGGGCCGCCGGGCACCCTCAGCGTCCTGCTCGGGGGCGGCGGCGGCGCAGGTGGCGTTAGTGGTGAGGAGGCAGCCTTGCCGGTGGACGGCGAGGCCGGCTGGCTCGGGGTGTCCACGCTCGGGGTCTGCGGCGACTGCAGCAGGATGGCGTCGTCGGGGTGCAGCAGCGAGGCGTTGGTCGTGGTGCAGCACCGCGTCGGCGTGGGCGTGGCCAGCGTGTGCGTCGCCGTGAACGACAGCGTGCACAGGCGCACGTTCGACGCGAAGCTGTTGAGCTCGGCGTCGGCCCCCGTCGTCACCAGGTGGGGACAGCCCAGGTGTGGCGAAGACAGCCCCACCTTGGTCAGCATCTCCTACAACAAGGCGGCAAATTCATCATCTGTCCTGTCACGTCACCAGCCCGCCCGCCGCCCCGCACAGCGGGCCAGAGAACCGGAGGTGGCGGTCAAAATCCCGGACGCGTAATGAACTCCTGAGTCGCTAAGTGGAACTCGAACCAAAAGTGTGATCCCACCAAAAGATTGCTCTCCGAACAAGAAATCCATTGATGGGGTCACACGCTCGGTTCGAGTCCCATTTAGCGACTGTGGAGCTCAAAACGCGTCTAGAGTTTTTGCCGCCTCCACCGGTCTTCTGGCCCACTGTGCCACGGCGCAGATGGCGCTGGCTGGCGCGGCCCGAGCGGGACGACTTCATCCGAAGCGGTAAAACGGCGGCCGCCTCGCGTACTTGAGCCATTTCATGCATTTCATGGCCCGGGCAGGACAGCGGGACCGAGACAGGCAGGACCACCCTGCCGGCAGCAAGCCGATTCCGAGGGACGTTTTCGTCGCTCTGTCTCTCTCACACATATAGAGCACGCCCTGCGAGTGCGAGAGAGACAGGGCGACGAAAACGACCCTCGGAATCGGTGTGCAGCAGTCAGGCATTGCTATCGCTGCTTTGATTTCCCTGCGTTTTGAACTCACGCCGAGCACGCGCTGCACCGCGGCGCGGACCTCCCCGTTGCGGTAGCCGTACACCCAGGGGTTGAGCGCGGAGGAGGCGAACATGGGCAGCGACAGGCACAGCCCGCGGAGGGAGGAGACCAGGTGGGAGCCGCACACCAGGTCCACGACGATCACCATCTGCGCACGAGAAAGGTAAGCACCAAACGGAAACAGCAAACTGATTCCGAGAGTCGTCGCTCTGCCTCTCTCGCACTCACGGGGCGTCCCTTACAGGTGCGAGAGAGAGAAAGCGACGCAAACAGCTCTCAGAATCCGTCTGCTGGGCATTGGAACGCAAGAGGAACAAGGAGAGGGGCAGAGCGGTCACCTGGAACGGCAGCCACAGGCAGACGAAGAAGCCGACCGTGATGGCGAGGGTGGAGGTGTAGCGCGACGCGTAGGGCGCGTCGTGGCCGTGGCGGAGAGACACCTCGACGCTGTAGATGGCGCGGTGGTGGTTGCGCGCCACCAGGTACACGTACGAGTAGCAGCCCACCACCAGCACCATGCAGGGCGCGTAGACGGCGCACAGCAGGAACACCGCCACGCCCGGGGGACGCAGCAGCGCCGCCCCGGAGCACGGCGCGGGAGGGGGCGCGCCCCCGACGCCGGGCCCCCACACCCTGGAGCACACATTCGTTTAGAGACACACTCACTTGGAACGGAGTCGAGTAGAGACGGACGGCGCTGCGGACTGATTCCGAGAGTCGTTTTCGTCGCTCTGTCTCTCTCGCAACTGTACGGGACGCCCCATGAGTGCGAGAGAGACAGAGCGACGAGGAGGACTTGCCTGGCGGCGAGGGGCGCCGTGCCCACCAGGCCGGCGTACAGCCACAGGCCGGCGATGTAGCGCTCCACGGAGCGGTGCGTGATGAGGTTGTTGTAGCGGAGTGGCTGCGCGAGCGACGTGAACCTGTCCACGGCGATGGCGGCCATGACGAGCAGCGAGGCGCAGCACAGTGCGGTGAGCAGGCAGTGCGGCAGCGCGCACAGGGACGCCGCGGCGTCCGGGGCGGCGTCGGCGGCCGCCGTGGCCGTGGCGCTCACCTCCAGGTACGCGCACAGCGGCAGCAGCACGCCGACGCCCAGGTCGGAGGACGCCAGGCTGCCCAGCAGGTAGTTGCTCGGCGTGCGCAGCCGCTTGAAGCGGTACAGCGCGTTGAGCAGGAGCGCGTTGCCGCACACCGTCACGGGGGACAGCACCAGCACGCCGCAGCACAGCACCACCGCGGCCAGCGCGCCGCTCTGCGTGTCCGAGTACGCGTCCGAGGCCGCCAGCGTGGTGGGCAGCCGCGTCGCCGCCCCCCAGTCACTGCCGTTGGCCACTTCCGCCCCCAAGGACGCCCCCACGGGGGTGGGCGGCGTGGCCGTCGTGGCCATGGTCATGCCACATCGGGCCGCCCGAACGGAACCAGTCCCCCGGCCCCGGAAGCCCCAGGCAGCCCGCGGCAGCCCGCGGCCCGGACCGCGGCGCGGCGCGGCTCTCTTCGGCTCGACCTGCGCCTCCGACTCGCCGACTCGTCACCGGGGGTCCTCCAAGTCCGCCATCGAGGTGGTGCTGTCCTGCGGAGCCTGCGGAGCAGAGAGGAAACGGGGCGGTCAGACTGGCGGGGTGCTTGGAGAGCCAAGTCGCCCCGCGCCTTCACCCTTTCGCGCTTTCGCGCTTCCGCATTCGCACAAGCAGAAACTTGGACAATGGGGCAGGAAGCGGGACAAAGAGGGCGAACCAGCTGACTGATTTCGGGAGCCGTTTTCGTCGCTCTGTCTCTCTCGCACTTACGCGGCGTTGCGTACAGGTGCGAGAGAGAGGGAGCGACGAAGACGACTCTCGGAATCAGTCTGCAGCGCGAGTGAATGGAAGCGTGGCCTAGGCGTGGACGCCCTCCTGGCCGGGGTAGCCACTCGCGACGCGCACGACGCGGCAGCACACTGACTCCGAGCGTCGTCATCGTCGCTCTGCCTCTCTCGCATCCGTAAGATCGCCTTTGGGAATGGCCGATAACACGTTCTGGTGCTCCGCCGGCGCCCAGGGCACACCTTTGTCTCTGTAAGTGCAAACTGCAGAGTGTTTTGGATCCGGCTGGGTCCAGTGGGTCGGGCCCGGTCCGGTCCGGTCGGCCGATCGGCGAGCCATCGATTCCCTGACACTGACAACGTGGCCCGCGGCAAGGCCTCCGGCAAGGCCACCGGCTTGCCGTTGCCTGCCTTTGACTTTGGCTATGGCTTTGCCTTTGCCTTTGCCTTTGGCGCACCACTGCAAGCGCCACTGCCCCGCCCGGTTACTTTGCGCTTTGCGCTTTGCGCCGCTTTGCGCGCACTCCGACAGCCGGGCCGTCCTTTGATCCCGTCGGGCCGCAGCTCGGAGCAGCGAGCAGTAGCGAGCTCCAGCGACGAGTCCTTTCGTCACTCCACTACCTCTGTCGCGACAGAGTCAGATACGTTGCCCTGGCTGCAACCGAATTGTGTGGCTCTGTCTCTCACGGAAGAGAGAAGAAGAGGAAGAGAGACACCCTAACGCAATTAATGGACGCCCCCCATCGAGTGGCACCGAGAGCGTGTCGAATGTTGAAGCGGAGATGCGGCGCTGCGCGAGACAAGCGTTCCGTTTACGGACCCGCCATCGCCCTACGCAGTATAGTGAGTGAGCGCGCCAGGCGCCAGAACAGTCCACCCACCCCCGCCCCTACCCGCCCCCAGCGCGGCAGCTCCCAGAGCACCGACGCAAATTTCAGTTAAACATAATTATTTAGGAAAGAATCCGCGACAAAGCGAACCGTTGCCTCCTTCCCCGAAAGCAGCCCGCTCCCCCTGCGCGCCGCCCTGCCCGGCCCTGCCGTTAACGCCCCCCTCCCCTTCCCCCTCCCCTTCCCCGCGCGTCTCATTTATAAGTGTCGCCAAATTGCCCTGCCGGCTGGAATTGCCCGCGTCTTTGCTCCGGTAATGTTGGCAGTACACCGAGGCGCGCCGAGGCGCGGGCACGGTGGGGCCATCGTCGCGTTCCTGGAGACTCCAGGCAGACTCCAGGTAAAGTCCATGGAGACTGCGGGGAACTCCAGGGAGACTCCAGGCCGACTCCGGGGGGACTCCTGGCAGACGGACTGCTTCGGCGCAGCGCGGCGCAGCGCCACTCCGGAGCAGAGCGGGCTATTTCATGGCGTATTTTATTCGTCGTGGAACGCGCTGCTGCACGCGGCCATGAGCCGAGCCATGAGCCGAGCCATGAGCGGCCCGGGGGCGGAGAAGCAGAAGACGCCGCAAGGCCCGCAAGGGTGATGGAATATGGATTAAACATGGCCGAGTTTGCCTGCCTTGCCTGCCTGCCTGGTTTGCCATGCACTCACGGCCCCGCCTTATCCCTTTCTGATCGGTTTCGCGTCGCGGCTGGATTACAAAGCAACTTTCCCCCAAGTAGGGCTGGAGCGTGGCTGGAGCGAGACTGCAGGCTGATTCCGAGCGGGAGGATCGCGCCGTTTCGCACCCTCTACAAAACAACAACAAAAAACAAACAAAAACAATTCAACGGAAACATGGTTTTATTTACCCAGCTTTGTTTGGACACTATTCCTGCCCCACCTCACTTTCCAGCCACGTTCCGTAATCGCGCGTGCGGCACGCGCGTGTGGCCTATCACGCCGTGGCAGTCGCCAACAGGTGCGGTCGGAGCGGCCAGCCAGCCAGCCACATCCTACAGACTCCTGCTGCGAGTTTCCTCCCCCTTGCCCTTATTTCGCCCTCTGCGATTACAGTCACTCGGAGAGAGAGAGGGGGGGGGGGTGCGACCCTGGCCGCATTGCAGGATGTTTTTCCGGCGGGATGATGGTACACTGGTTGGCTTGGCACTGGCAGCGTGCCTTTGTCCACTTGAACAGAGTCTGACGGAGCCCGACGGAGACCGAGATAGAGGCCGACAGAGACCGACAGAGTCCTGGCAGCGGCGTGGCCGCAGCCCTTCGCCCTCCACAAAGCACACTCACCCCGCTGCCGCGGCTGCAGACTGATTCCCAGAGTCGTTTTCGTCGCTCAGTCTCTCTCTCTCATGGAGCGTCCTTTGAAGGTGCGACAGAGACAGAGCGACGAAAACGACGCTCGGAATCAGTCTTCTGGCCGTAGATTGACAGAGGCCACGGTGTTCCGTTTCGCCGCATTCGAAAAAGGTGTGGAGAAAGGGAAAGTGAGGGACAAGCGGAAGAATTAAAGCAGACAAAAGAGAAAGAAAGGAAAGAGAGAAAAGAGGGGGTGGTGCGGTGGCGCTGTGCACAGTGGGCCAGAAGACCGGAGGAGGCGGCCAAAATTCTAGACGCGTTTTGAGCTCCAGAGTCGCGAAATGGGACTCGAACCGAACGTGTGGCCCCACCAATGGATTGCTCTCCGAACGAGGAATCCATTGGTGGGGTCACACGTTCGTTTCGAGTCCCATTTAGCAACTCTGGAACTCAAAACGCGTCGGGAATTTATGGGCCGCCTGTACCGGTCTTCTGGCCCACTGTGCGGTGAGTCCACCAGAAAACGAAACCGCCCCCGCCTTTCCCTCGGGCTGCTGAAACGGACGGGCAGGGGCGGGGCAGGGGCGGGGCAGGGGTGGGGCAGGGGAAGGGGTCTTGTGGATTTGGTTAATACAGCTGTTCCCCGTCCGCGGTCCGCGCCCCGACCGCGGGTCGAAGGTTTGTAGTTTCTGTCGGCCACAGTGCGCGCAGCCCGGCCCAGCCACACGGCGCCGAAAAAAAGGCATAGTTGAGGCGATCAACTCCATGTTCGATAGGCTGCAGTTCGATAGCTGCAAACGGAAATCCGATACCTACAACCTATCGAACAGAGTTGTTGGCAGTTGTTGTTCACCACAACAGAGCCTTCACTGCCAAGCCAGTGGTAAGCCATTTTCAATGCAAAAATTTGGCAAGCTTTGACTTGAAATCTCCGTAAGCTCGCCAAATCTTGGCAAGCTGGGGAGCGTTTCTGGGCCAAGCTTGCCAAATTTTGGTAAATCAAAATGGCATGCCAATTTTGTGGCTTGCAAACTCACCACTGGCTTTTGCAGTGTTTGTCTGCGCGCACTCACACGGACTGCCATGGACTCGAATGAGATGAAAATCCAAGTCAGAGGGGGACGATCGGCCGAATGCAAATTGCAGCCAGTGGCATAGGCAAGCCGGTGTCTCAGCGTGGACAAGGTGCACTGGACACGGACTCAACGGACAAGACACAACACCTCACAGGCAGAGTCCAGCCTTCGAGCCGTCCAGCCCCTGCAGTCCGCAGTCCGTCTCACTGGCTAATCCATGGGGATGAGCGATGACTGATCCCCCTCCCTCCCCTCCCCTCCTCCCCTCCTTCCCCTCCCCTCCACTTGCCTTCCCACTCCCCCTCCCCCTGTCAGGCCCCCGCACCCCGATCAAAGCCCCGATACTGCTGGTGATTGATCACTAGTGCAGCGACCGTGTCGCACGGACTGAGCCCGGGGCTGGGCCCGGGGCCGGGCCCAGTCGAACAAAACTAACCAATGCCGCTGTGTCAAGCTGTCAGTCACTCCTCCGCCGACGTCAAAACGCGCGCCGATCGAGTTTTCCAGTTTTGCCAGCGACCCTCTTTTCCTCCCTTCTCTTTCTTTGTCAGTCACACTTGAAGTCGAGTGCGCGGCGCGCGGCGTCTCGTCGCGGAGCTACTTCCGGTCTGGAATAACAAAGTTGGTGTGTGCGTGGCGTCCCCGGAGAGCGATGCGTGCCAGACGGCGAGCACGAACAGTGCCTCGGACAGACAGACAGACAGGCGGACAGACAGACAGACAGACAGACAGACGGACAGACAGACAGACAGACAGACAGGCGGACAGACAGACAGACAGACAGACAGGCGGACAGACAGACAGACAGACAGACAGACAGACAGACAGACAGACAGACAGGCAGACAGGCGGACGAACAGGCTGATAGAGAGACGGG